ATGGATGGATGGATGGATGGATGGAGGGATGGATGGATGGATGGATGGATGGATGGATGGATGAAGGAAGGAATTCTTTAAAATAAAAGCAAATAATAGCAGAAAAAGCACTGAAGAGATTTTGGGGAACAGAAAAGTATCTGTTTTGCTCCCACCTAGCCTATCAGTCAGAAAGTGTTCATCGGACACATGAGTTGTCTGTGGTACAGGAGTTCAGGTCCTGTGCTCACAAATCCAAAGCAACGTGTTGTCATTAGAATACGGCTCCCAAGGTCATTGGGGTATTTAAGGAGTGGCTGGACCCTTTCCACCCTCCTTGGCCAAACCTCCCTCTCCTGAGCCCTCGTCCACCCTGCTACCCTGCCTGTCCTGCCAGGGAGCCGGGCCTGGGGAGTGCCTGGATCTCCAAGGAGGCGGGGGAGGGGAGCAGCAGCCCCTATGGCGTCGCCTTTCCAAACTGGGATGAAGTGGTTCGCGTCCATCTCAGTCCATAAAATCAAGGGCAACATGGATGGTGCCCCTTCCCTTCCACAGCACAGAGGCTCTGGTCTTATCCAGTTAACCAAACATTTTTTATCAGTCAGGCTTGTAATGCTGTTAATTATGCAGGCTACACATTGCCCCCTCCAGTGGGCTGGGCACACTGGGTTACGGGCCTCGGAAGGATAGAAGGCTGAGCGAACCTCGAACCGGCGACCTGGGATAGAACCCCCCGGGTTGTGAGCAGAGTTTTGGCTGCAGCGCAGCTGTCGTGAGCACAGTTTTGGCTGCAGCGCAGCCAGTTAACTGTACTGAAATTATTCCTTTGAAAGGTGGGGCTGGAGGAGAGCTTTGTGGATGCCCTGCATGGCCAGAAAGATGAACAAGGGGGTCCTCAATCAAATCCAGCCTGAATGATCTCTGGAGGCCAAAATGGTGAGGCTGAGGCTGTTCTGCTTTGGACACATCACGAGAAGGTGGGATTCTCTGGAAAAGACAATCGTGGTGGGAAAGGTGGAAGGCAGCAGGAGAGGAGGAAGACCCAAGATGAGATGGACTCATTCTCTAAAGGAAGCCATAGACTTACGTTTGCAAGAGCTAAACGGGGCTGTGAAAGACGGGACATTTTGGAGACTGCTCAGTCATAAGGTTGCCATAAGTGGGAAGTGACTTGATGGCACATCACAGCAACAACAACAACAACACAACGTGTGGGTTGGAGGAAGGCAGATTCAACTAGAGGCTGCCTGGTTTAGAAGTCAGTGCTCACCAGAGGAACAGAGTGTCTTGAGGCTCTTCCGATGTGTCGGATTCTCTCTCTCTCTCCCAGGAGGAAGGCAGATTCAACTAGAGGCTGCCTGGTTTAGAAGTCAGTGCTCACCAGAGGAACAGAGTGTCTTGAGGCTCTTCCGATGTGTCGGATTCTCTCTCTCTCCCACAAAACACAAGTTGTGTGCGGCTGTTTCACGGCTGGGAAATGCCGAGGTGTTGGGGACCCCTGACCCCATGGAAAGGCTTCCCGAAAAGCAATGCAGACTGAGTCCAACAGTGCACACTTCCTTGCACCCCCGCTAGGAGGCACTATAAGTCACCCCACATTCCCGCTTGTTCCTGGCTTTC